TTAATTGGGCAAGTTCACATATCCAATGAACAAAGGGACTGTTGGTGATGAAGTAGAGAGCTAATGTCACACAGGCAATTGGCCCTATTTACTGCACCCAGAATGGTAAATCCATGTGTGGACTCTGCCTGGGCTTACCATGTGCTCCAACTCTAATTGCTGCTGATTTCTGCCTCTGCACTCTTTGGAAACTACTTCTGTTTGGACAAGAATAAAACTCATACTACATTCCCTTCATTCTTACATTCCTCACATGAGAGAAGGCATCCATAGAGCTTCTTAGGACCCTGGGAACACAAAATATGCAAAAGCAATCAAAATCCTTTCATCTCTAGTTCAAAATCTATCTATCTATCTATCTATCTATCTATCTATCTATCTATCTATCTATTTCTGAGACAGAGTCTCACTGTACAGCTCTGGCTGGCCTAGAACACACTATGTAGACCAAGCTGGCCTGCAACTCACGGATATCTGTCTGCCTCTGCCTTTTGAAAGCTGAAATTAAAGGCATGCACCACCACACCCAGGCAAAATGATTTTTATAATTATTATATTTATTTTGTGTGTGTGTGTGTGTGTGTGTGTGTGTGTGTGTGTGTGTGCCTGTATGAATGAATGTCACCTGTGTGTGACCCCACAGAGTCCTGAAAAGGGATCTGGATCCCTTGGGGCTGGAGTGACAGGTGGCTGTGAGCAACTTGACAGGAATGCTGGGAAACAAACTCAGGTGCTTCGGAAGGATAAGCAGTAGACTTACACACTAAATGATCTCTCTAGCTCCTTTGAATTTCATCTTTGTGCAGCATTCAAGTAAACAGTAACCAATTCCCACTGCTAAGAAGACGACATGGAGCCTGAAGAAAGGTCCAGTGTGCCAGTTGTGTGCCAGTTCCTGTGGAGTGTGTGCTCATGGCTGAGCTCCTGGCAAAGCTCCTTTCCCCTCATGTCTTCGTGCATTTCAGATGTGAGTGTGCATCAGAATCTCCCAAATGGCTTCCCAAACCTAGACTGTGAGTTCTACCTTGAGGTTTCTGATTCTGGAAGTCAACGTGGAGACTAACAAGTTGCATTTCTCAGAAATCAGTGATATTTTCTCCCTGGTGGAGAACTTTGACAACCATAAGCTTTGTAAGATACAGTAAATCCATATTTCTAGCGATCATGTGAATGAATTGCCACCTTGCAGCCAAAAGAGCCTACTGAAGCTCACTTTCTTTACAACGAAGCAGAAGCCCACAGGGCTGAAACAGAGAACAAATTCCATGCCCTCCAGAAATCTGCCTATATTTTGGTGGCCATGGTTTTGCTGCATTCAAGTTCCTTGCTCAGTTCTCACTGAAGTTGGGTGCTCTTCTAGATGGCTACACAAGGGGTTAGAAAAGGCTTTCAGCCTCCATCCTCTGACTAGAGGGAATGCTTGAATCACAGGAGTGAATGTGGAGATTCAAACAAGGCCTCCATACTACACCTGTAAGAAAAAACCTTAGTCAAATCATTACTTTTATTTTTAATTGAATGGCTCAACAAAGGAACAAAAAAACTAATTTTGTGTCATGCACAATTAGGAGCAAAGAAAGAGTAACTTGGAGGTTCTGCCTTTCAAGATGCACAACTGTAAACACGTACACTTCGCTGTCTCTCATCTCATCTGACAGGACAAGTGGCAAGCTACTTTTGGGGATTGTGGAAGCTACATACTACATAAAAGCATCACGCCTTTACTCCCAGCACTCAGGAGACAGAGGCAAGAAGATCTCTGAGTTTGAGATCAGCCCGGTTCACACAGTGAGCTCCAGGTCAGTTAGGGATGCATAGTGAGACTCTGTCTCAAAAACAAAAACAAAAATTGTCCCTCTTCAGTTCCTAACAAAAATCTGAATTCATCTTCGGTGGAGAAGCATGAGAACACAGAAGATACAGGAGGTCTAGAGAGGACAATGGAAAAAGACCTCGTCCCGGATCCATCTGCAGGAAATCTGCAGAATCTTCAATGTCTTGATTTACCAGTACCAATGCTAACCGGGTATGGAGGCAGACACACTGTCTCAGCAGGTCTAGGGAGATTCTCCTACTGTTTTCCTTAGCCATAAGAATGGCCTCTTGAAGAGACATGAACCTACCCAGATTCAGTTTTTCCAACTCTCTTGAGAATGGAATTGAATTATCTCTCTCCTTCCTCTACCGTGCTGGGCTGTTTCCCAAGAGCTGCTTTGCCACCTCCACAGCCCCACAATCCACACCTGAATCCCTCCAAATGTATTACACACATTCAAATTGGACCGAGAGTGGAAAGAATGCTGCCAGGCATCCTCATCCTATCGATGCAAGGGCATAAGGGCATCCTTCTCACCCTGTGATCATATTCACACACCTAGCGAAAGAACACCAATGGTGAAATCCTAGCTCCTCACTTTTGAGTTTGGTACCTTTCTGAAGTCATTTGACCTTTCTGGAGCCTTTACTGTCTCATTAGCAAATTAGAAGTAGAACTACACTCTTTGCAGGGAAAATTTGAGATTAAAGGAAATTGAATGTACCATAACACATGAATTGGAGCCTAAAATTTCAGTTACATAAAATACAGGAACCAGTCATTGCTGGATTAAATTAAAAGGCAGGACCAGCAAGCTGGGAATTCCAGAAATCACAGTGGTCTGGCGCCACCTAGTGGTCATCATCAACCAATGCTAGAGGGGCTTTCGGCCTGGCTCCCTGCAATAGGGAACTTCCAGGCAAGTGGCAGGATTAAGGACTCTTCTTTTCTCAGTCCTTTTTATTTGATTATTTCCGGGATATAGTGATAAGAACAGAAGATGGGAATTAACTAGTCGTTTTAGGGGCAGGTAACTAGAAACTGAACAGTTGTCCTTGGCCAAAAGCAGGAAATACCCTTGTTTCTCTGGGCAGGAATGCTAGAGGGGACTTTGGTTTATCGTTTCCTAAATGAGCCCCGTCCTTGGCAGCAGTACAGGACCATGTGACTGAGGCTCCAATCCAGACACTGACCCCTTCTAGTGAATGGCTTTAGAACTAGGACTTGGTTTTCATGGTGGGAAAGATAATATTTATTTCCCAGTTTCAGCCATCTCCTAAATGATATTAGGGTTACCTCTTCAGAGTGAAAAATGTTAAACAGACTTGATCAGGATTCTGTTGAGGCTACTAAGGGAAATCTGTCTCCTCCTGGTCAAAATAATGGAATCTACCTCTGGTCAAAACTACCCAAAACATGAGTTAATTCAGCTAGACTCCCTAGGAAGGCTGGTTGACCTTAAGTGATTCTAAAGAGACTGGGGGTGGCGGGGGATGGCTATTTCCTTACTGAGATCATATGCTTTTCCTTCTCCTCCTCACTCGGTTTCAGCAGCTCATAGAGCTAGGACCATGTAGCTGGGTTACATGACTGATTTTTCTTAGAAAACAGCAACCTTTTTCTTCTTTTCTTCTCTCTCTTTCATATCTTTTCTTTCTCTTTTCTCTTTTTCTTGGATACTGGCTGTGGCCTGGGCGTGCTTTCCTGGACACTCTGGGCTTGTTTAGTCTTTTTCATATGAAGCTGTTCTACCACATGGTAACAGAGGGCCTGGTTTTCTCTTTGACCCTTCCCCATCTTCCTCAAAGGAGCAGCTGCCTGCTCTGGGGTTTTTCTTTTAAACTAATAAAATTGTCCTTAAGCCTCCTTCTGAGTCCATTCTTAACTCTCTTATTAAGGAGGCTAAGAATGCCAAGAGGGGACCCCATTTTCCCCCAGTAACCTGGTACCCCAGGTGGGGCTCTCTAAATGTCCCTGTAGCACACATGCAAGAACTCATCCCCCATATTCACACTTGCTGAGAAGTCTCCCATCCTTTCCCATGAGTGCAACACAAACTGTATTACTATCTGCCTGACCCTGGGAGGATGGCTGAAGCTGATCTTCATATATGAACAGGGACAAGTGGGGAAGAGAACCCATCACTGACCATTTTATATTTTAATTCACAAAGAAATCAAAGAAGCCATCATAGCCTGAACTGTCCCCTCCAATCTCACCTCTTGCTACAGGCCACCCTGGCTGCCTCTGTTTATAAAATCACCTCTTTTTCTCTATACTCTTTGGAGTGCTGGTCTCTGCTTTTTGTGCTCGCCACCCTTTCACCTGCAGGACGTCACCACCCAGTCCATTTCCTGCCAGTGTTCTAACCTGTTAACATCAGCTGCGTTTACAGTCTGTAGTCATTCGATGGTATTTTCCGTCTAAGTAAAATGACCCCTTCCAGTAAGAAATATGCCCTGTTTACATAAGAACAGCAGCTTCCGTATAGTCCCCAGGTGGCTTATTTTCTCTGACCTTTACTGAGACTTTCCTGCACTCTCTTCACCTCTGCCCTGCTGCTTTAAGCCTACAGAGACTGAACCTGCTGTACATTGTACGGGGTGAGGATTAAGAATTCTCAGGTAGGACCTTTCAGCTAGTCATAGTAAAGCATACTTATGTTAGGTCAGGCCTGAGATGTGACAGGAGAAATGCAAATGTGAAGAGACCCCATTTCAAAGCCTAGTTCACTAAGAACACCTGTTTTGCCTGCAGGCAGTGTCCCTGAACCCTATAAACAAATCCTTCTCTCCTCTGTGCTCACAGGTCTGTGCTGGCATGTAAAACCAGACCCTCCTGGCTGGGAAACTGCAACTCAATCCTGTTTACATCCCCGTTGCTGCACTGTGGCTTCTAGAGGGGCTGCTGGGTAGGTACACCTGGCTTTATTAAAGTTTTGCATCATCCAAGAGGTAGAACCACCATTGCTCCATCCTTATCATAAACTCTCATGTGTACCCAAGAGATCCTTTAAAGCGACAGTATCCCCCCAAGTTTCCGATTGGGGCTTTTTGTGTGCCTCCCAAAAGCTGGGCAAGATTTGGATTCCTTGCCAAGGAAAGATCTTGGTTCAAGAGACACTCTTTCCTGTTCTAGTGGGTGAAATCAGAGTTTTGGGTTAGTTAATCAGAGAAGGGGCATCATGTTGACTCTGGCTCCCGTCTTAACTGTGTCCTATGAAGCCAAGATTTCATTTCTGCTCATTTCCGTCCTGGAGTTTGCAGTGGGGATCCTGGTCAATGCGTTCATTGCCTTGGTGAACTTCTGGGACATGGTGAAGGGGCGGCCGTTGAACAACTGTGACATTGTGCTGCTGTGCCTCAGCATCACGCGGCTCTTCCTGCAGGGGTTGCTGCTTCTGGATGCCATTCAGCTCACCTGCTTCCAGCAGATGAAAGACCCACTGAGCCACAACTACCAAGCCATCCTCACTCTCTGGATGATCGCAAACCAAGTGAGCCTGTGGTTTGCCGCCTGCCTCAGTCTCCTCTACTGCTCCAGGATCGTCCGTTTCTCCCACACCTCCCTGCTCCACTTAGCAAGCTGGGTCTCCAGGAGATTTTGCCAGGTGCTTCTAGGTGCTCTTCTTTTCTCCTGCATCTGCACCGTCCTCTGTTTGTGGGACTTTTTCAGCAGATCCCACTTCATGGGCACATCTGTGTTACCTGTGAATAACACAGAATTCAGTTCCCAAATGGCAAAACTCAATTTCTTTTATTCATTTATCTTCTGCAATGTGGGGTCTATCCCCCCTTCTCTAGCTTTCCTGGCTTCCTCCGGAGTGCTGTTTATCTCCCTGGGCAGTCACATGAGGGCCATGAAGTCCCGAATCAGAGACTCTCGTGACCCCAGCCTTGAGGCCCACATCAGAGCCATCATATTTCTGGTTTCTTTTCTTTGTTTCTATGTGCTGTCATTCTTTGCCGCCTTGGTCTCAATGCCTTTACTAGTGCTGTGGCACAATAAGGGAGGAGTGATGGTTTGTATAGGGATGATGGCGGCTTGCCCTTCTGGACACGCAGCTATCCTCATAGCAGGCAATGCCAAGCTGAGGAGGGCCATAGAGACCATGCTATTCTGGTTTCAAAGCAGCCAGAAGGTGAGAAAAGACCAAAAGATGCTTCCCGGGACACTCTGATAGGTCGTGAAACAGGCTCCTCACAGATACACCTCTAATGCTTCATGACGTTTTACAGTTTCCTTCATAATCCAGAACTGGAATTCTTTCTACTTGACCTAAATAGACTCTATAATAGTAGAATAAATTAACTGAAACTCTGTGATCTAAGCAAATATAACAGTGTTGGCTCCTTAGACATGTCTAGTACAATGAACAACAACAAAAAAAATCGAGGGGTTCACCGTAAACCCTTTCTGCACTGAAGCTCATTGTTGACTACCATGTGCCCTGAGAAGCCTCTCCTTCTAAAAGAACAGAAAGCCTTAACATATTAATGCACTTGCTAAGACTCTTGTTCAAAACTGGTACTAGAATCATACATGAAAACATTTACTACTGGGGCAATCATTCAGTGCTCTTTGGACCCCACAGTTTGCATGGAAACATGAAGAAAGAAAAAGAAAAACCTAGAGAAACAGTTATGCTGTAACTTCAGCTTCAAAGGGGCGCTACATAAAAACATGAATAGGACCCATGACTAGGGTTCGTTCTGTAAATATGTGGAATCCAAAGTGTACTTCCACCTGTTGTACAGACAAGGAGGTGAGGTGGAGATTTGCCCAGCCAGCGTTCTTGGTATCAGAAGCTCCGGTGGACCTCCTAACTCTGCCCAGTTGCCTTTGTCTACCTAGGTGAAGCACTAGCCCAGAAAAGCCCAGCTACAAGGCTTGGCTGTGAAGACTCAGCTCTCTGTCTTCCTGCACAGGAACCAGAGCGGGAAGGCTGTCCAAAGTTCAGATTTAAGGTTCCAGAGAGAAAATTCCAGACTGGGTATTTAAATCCTTCAAAGGTGTCGGTCATCAGGTCCCCCGGGAAGGAAGGCTTTTCCTTCTGTGTGAATGCTGTTGAAAAGCATTTTTCTCTTCTCAGGCCTCTGTTTCTGATAGATGCAATTCTTAGGTTTTTCCAAACAAATAAGCCTTTTCTTCAGTTCAATGACAACAAAGCTTGAAGCTTTGTCCTTTGTCTCATGTCTTTCCATGGTGGACATCTTTTAAAGTTTCCTTCAGAAGCACTGATCCTAATTCATGATTCCAGGTTAAAAAAAAAAAATAAAAACAACTTGATTGCCACATTTCAGGCCAACAAATTCAAATATTTGGAGATGGATCCAGATGTTACCTTTCTAGAACTCCCTCGGTGATCCAGGGAGCAGCTAGTATCAAGAACCACTACTCTGGATGACCTATTATTTGAGCTGGATAATGTGATTCTCCGAGATCACATCACCTTTTGACCTCATTTCCCCCTATGGTACTAGTGGATATTATCAGAAAGGGAAGAAGTAAAGGCTAAGCCTCCTTATTTTTCTTTCTCTTTTTATATGAGTATTCTCAAAATAAGTCTTCTTTATATCGTATTGTTCTCTGAATTTTTAAAGATCTCCCTTTGGAGCAGTTTAAGGCCACAGAAAACCCATAGCTGAAATTATGCAGCAGGTGTAGCCCTTTGGGGTTGGCGATTTTTACCTAGTATCCCATATCTAAGGCTTCTCTGTCTTACTAAGGATTGACAGCTCGTTTCCTTCGGTGCTAAATCCTATTCTGTGGTCTGGATGAGCCACACTCGTCCCATCCACCCACTGAAGAGCAGCTCAGTTGTTCCCGAGGTTTAGCAGTTGTCGGGAACACTGCTAGGAACATCTGTGTGCAAATTTTCTGCATATGTGAGCTTCTGTTTCTTGGATAAATTCCAGTGAAATCAAACACTGGATCACCTGGTCAGGGTATGTTTAATTTTGTGAGGAACTACCAAATGTGTCTTTCAAAGTAGCTCATTGTTTTGCCTCCCCACCACTGTGAGTGACAGGCTTCTGCAGCCTTTGGTGCTGTTCCTGCTCCGGGTTCTAGCATTTGGGTTCTAGCATTTGGGTTCTAGCCTTCAGCAGCTGTGTAAGCAGGTCTTACTGTTTTCTTTGTTGTTTCCCTGAAAACACACGATGTGAGTCTCTTCTCACATGATTGTTTTCACAAAAAGTATTTTTATCATATTTCTGAAATTCATCCACAATATCATATGAATCCCTATTTATTTTTTTTATTTAAAGAATTTTTATAGTCAATATATTTTGGCCGTATTGTTTCCCTTCCACTACTCCTTCCAGATCCTCCCCACCTCCTGGCCCACCCAGCTTCATGTTCTTTCTCCCCCACACTTTCTCAGAAAGAATTTTAAAATGAAAGACCAAAAAAAAAAAAAAAGCCAGTAAGACAAAAAATACCAAAACCCCAACTCACTGCTCCACAATAATTGATGTTGCACTGTTTATAGTTAGCAGATTTTGTGAATGGAGTTTCCACAAATACTCTTGAATGCATCTTTTTGAGGACACAGTCTCCTAGGTAAATACCTGGGAGTGAATTTGCTGTGTCAAAAAGCTGGTACACAGCTAACTTGGCAACAAGTTGCTTGAGTTTCCGGAAGTGAGCCTGACATTTTACACCACCCACCACAATACAGGAAAGTCATTCCACACTCCCGCCAATAGCAACTTACTACACCCCCCCTCTCAATTTTGGTCATTGAGGTGAGACTGAAACGGCTTTGATTTGCCTTTCTCTGATAACTGCCAGCATGGAGCACATTTCCATGTATTTCTTGGCCTTCTTCTTACACATTTTCTACTACAAACTACTTGCATATGTTTCATACCTAGTTGTCTTTTACTGATTTTTAGGACTTTATAAATTTTTAAATTTTGCATATGTATATTATATGTGTGTATACAGCTATACAACTCATACATATAGGTACACATACAGCTTATAATGTTTAAGAGTTCCTTTTTAATATTTATATTTTATAAATGTATCCATAAATTATACACATGCTTCATATTTGTATATATGTGCGAATACATATGTATTCCAGAGGACATTAATGTGCCTGATACATAGTGGCTATCATAACACAAACTTTGATCTATCTTTTCATTTTCTTGATCATACACTGATAAGCAGAAATTCTAGATTTTGATACAGTCCAATTTTTACATTTAATGTTTGTGTTTTTTGTATTTCCTCTAAGACATATGTACTTACCTCTAAAAGACTTTCTCCACAGTTTTAGTAGTTTTCATTTTTATGTTTAATTAATTTTAAAATGTGCATCACGTTATAATTTATTGAAGGGGCTGCTGAAGTTTCTTTGTATTCCATCCATGTGACTCAATATCATTTATCAAAGACTTTCCTTCATGTCTTCATTAAACTAACTCTAATGGTTACATGCATATGTATGCATATACATATACATATATATGTATGTTCATATATTATTATACATGTATATAATGTGTATATGTGCATATACTCATACATACAACTCTTGTTGGGATTCTGGAAGTTAATTTCTGATTCTGAATATCAACTTGGGAAGAATCCACTTCATAAAAAATATTTAGTTTCCCAGTGTTTTGTAGTTCTTAGTAAATTCTTTTATAGAATTATATCTAAATATTTCATATTTCATTTATTATATAATTATGTAAATTCCTTTTTATTTTCTACATCATATAAAACAACAATATTTTACATTTTATGGATTTCCTAAATTAAGGAAGTGTCATTTTACCTATGTCTTTAATCTCATTGATAAATATTTTTTTCCTTTGCAACCATAGATGCCCCTCTCCTCCCTCCTCCCACCCCCTCAGCCTTCCCCCCCACAACCCACTCTCATTCCCACATCCTCCAAGGCAAGAACTTCCAGGAGGTGTCATCAGAGCCTGGTACATTCAATTGAGGCAGGTCCAAGCCCCTCTGCCTGAACCAAGGCTGTGCAAGGTATCCCACCATAGGCACTGGACTCCAAAAAGCCCACTCATGCACCAGGGATGGATTCTGATCCCACTGCCAGGGGCCGCTTAAACAGTTCAAGCTAAACAACTGTCTCACCTATGCAGAGGGCCTAGTCCAATCCTATGGAGGCTCCACAGCTATTGATCCACAGTTCATGGGTTCCCACTAGTTTGGTTTGGCTGTCTCTGTAGGTTTTCCCTTCATGATCTTGATGTCCCTTGTTCATAGAATCCCTCTTCTCTCCCTTTGACTGGACTCATGGAGCTTGGCCTGGTGCTTGGCTGTGGATCTCTGCATCTGCTTCCATCAGTTACTGGGTGGAGGCTCTATTATGACAATTAGGGTATTCACCAATCTGATTACCGGAGTAGGTCAGTTCAGGCATCCTCTCTACTATTGTTAGTAGTCTAAGGTGGGGTCATCCTTGTGGATTCCTGGGAACTTCCCTAGCACCCTGTTTTTCTCTTGTTCTCTTGATGTTTCCCTCTACCATGTATCTCTTTCCTTGCTCTCCCACTCTGTCCCTGTTCCAGCTTTACTATCACATTCCCTTATGTTCTCATCCCCCATCCCCTACCCTCCATTGCCCCTCCTCACCCTCAGTTTGCTCATGGAGATCTCATCTATTTCACCTTCCCAAGGCAATCCATGCATCTCTCTTAGGGTTCTCCTTGTAAGCTAGCTTCTCTGGAGCTGTGGGTTGTAGACTGGTTATCCTTTGCTTTACATCTAGTATCCACTTATGAGTGAGTACACGCCATGTTTGTCCTTCTGAGTCTGGGTTACCTCACTCAAAATCGTATTTTCTAGTTCCATCCATTTGCCTGCAAATTTCATGATGTCATTGTTTTTCACTGCTGAGTAATACTCCATTGTGCATATGTGCCATATTTCCTTTATCCATTCTTTGGTTGAGGGGCATCTAAGTTGTTTCCAGGTTCTGGCTATTTCGAATAATGCTGCTATGAACATAGTTGAGCATGTGTCCTTGTGGTACAATTGAGCATTCCTTGGGTATATGCCCAAGGAGTATAGCTGGGTCTTCAGGTAGATTGATTCCCAATTTTCTGAGAAACCGCCATACTGTTTTCCAAAGTGACTATACAAGTTTGCACTCCTACTAACAGTGGAGGAATGTTCTCCTTGCTCCACATCCTC